TTTGTGACAAAGACTTTTCTACCCTATTAAGCCAAAAGCAATCTGCTTTAAATAAACAAAAAACTCTTGTTCATACAGCTTAGCATCCAAGCTAACCCAAGGATAATATTCAAAACTGAATTTACTATCATCTTTATGAACATTCCAAAGTTTAATATTTAAAAGGTCATGTTTGGGATTAAGATTATCCTCCTGGCTCCAGGAACACTGTAATCTCTTAAGAGATCATACAAAGCATTAAAAAAAATCATACAGTAGAGGATATCATTAAAGCAAGGGCTGATACTTGGTATTTTGGAACCCCCAGGCCATAGGCAGTCCCTCACTATGTAAATCATCCACAACCTCATTTCCTAAATACAAACACATTTTCAAAATAAGAGTCTATTTCAAAGTCTTCAAAAGTTAAGTGATTTTGAACAGATAGGTTTTTCCAGGGATCTAAGAAGTAAACTATAACTCTTTCCAGTACTGGGAACTGAACCTAAGATCTTATGTAATACTACAAAGGTATTCTACCACTGACCTATACCCCATCCCTTATTTTATTTTTTATTTTGATATGGGGGGGGTCTCATTAAGTTACCCAGGTTGGCCTTGAACTCACTCTACAGCCCAGGCAGACCTTGACCTTATTACCTTCTGACCCTCCTGCCTCAACCTCCCATGTTGCTGGGATTACAGACCTATACCATCAGGACTTACAATCTGTAGCCATTTTTAATAGAAATCTCTATAAAATGTTTTTACCTCTCTGGATTTTTATAAAAACTGTTAAAAATCACTGTTATTAGACATTAAGTTTGCATTTAGGCGCTAATATGAACAATATGCCTAAAGAAGAATACTATCTGTTTAGGAATGAACATTGCTAAATACAGTTCCTGAAATTTTCCTAGGACAACTGTTCTTAAACCTCAAACCCTTGAGGGTTTACAATAATACAGCTTGCTGGACCCCATCTTCAGAGTTCTTGACTAAGTAGGTCTGGAATGGGGTCTGAGAATTTAAATTTTAAGTAGTTCTGAATGTTGAAGTTTGGGCCTATTTCTCTGAAACTCATTGCTCTAAGTCACCAGCTTACAAATGTTTTTCTACAAAATTTTTACAAATTAATGAGTTCAGTCTTGAAAATTAAAAATTAATGGACCTCAAAAAGGACCTATTCTTGGTATGAGCTATACCTATATATAATGACTATATTAAAATTAAAACTGGGGCAGATCTCTTTGAGTTCAAGACCAGCCTGGTATACATAGTGAGTTCCAGGTCAGCTGAATCTACAGGGAGACCCTGTCTCAAAAAGACAATCAATCAATCAATAAACCAATCAATAAATAAATAAATAAAAATTAGTTTTGACCTCAAAAACTCTACGAAAGGATCTTAGAACCCCTGTGTTCCTTAACAGTATTTGAGAACTAGTGCTCTGAGTTACTATCTAGAAGCAAGTAGGGAGATGTTCAACTTGACTCGGTGACAACAAATATATTGTAACTTGAGTACATCAATAAACAACAGAACATTCCCACTTCCACATACCCTCACCATGACTGGTACACACAGACTTCTATATTTTCACTTATTCACTGATTATAAAAATAGTGTTTCACTACAGTTTTAATTATCATTACCCTGTTATTAAGTTGGGAGCCATTTTATTTTCACAGACTTTCTATCAATGATTTCTATTATAAAGGTCTTTTTTTTATTATCGCGTCCCTTTTCCTTAGTATATATGTAAATGTTTTGAAAAGATGTTGTCAGTTTATTTAACCTAAATTCAAATTCAGTTCTCATTATTTGAGAGATCTCATTATCTATTTCTACCCAGATGACTGTCTTTCTAATCTGAATGTAGGATTCTTTATACACTCAATCTAATCCTTCCCAAAGTGAGAACAATCTGAATGCATTTATTAAGAATGTTATCTCGGGGCTGGAGAGATGGCTCAGCAGTTACGAGAACAGACTGCTCTGGCAGAGGACCTGGGTTCAATTCCCAGCACCCACATGGTGGCTACGAACTCCAGTTCCAAGGGAATCCGAAGCCCTCTTCTGACCCCCATGGCATTGCACGACACGGGTGCGCTCAGTACATGCAGGAAATACACTCATACACATAAAATAAAAATGAGAAAATATTTTTTTAAAAATGCTATCTCACAACATGAACAGCTGTCTCTGAACCTGAGCACCCTCGCCTCCAAGTTTTCAGAGTATAATAAAAAGGAAGTCCCACACGCCCACTCTACTTCACCTTCCTTTCCATCTCCACCCCAGCCCCACCTTCACCCATCCTCTCACTGTTGTATAAAGAGGCAGTTCCAAACCAAGTGAAATGCAATGAAAGGCCACAGATGACACTATTAGTTTAAAATCATTTTTTAAACAATAACTGCTATAGTTTAAAAACCTAATTAAGTTGGCTTAAAAAAAATAGAAACATTTCATACAACAGTAAAGATTACTCTGTATTTGTTACTGTGTTAACTTCTTGAGCCTTTCACCAGAAGAAACTAGTATAAATTACATTTAATTTTTAACCTTCATTTTATCATCTATAATCTATAAACTATAAAAACTTGTAATCTGGGGCTAGAGAGATGGCTCAGAGGTTAAGAACACTGGTTGTTCTTGCAGAAGACCCAGGTTCGAATCCCAGCACCCACATGACAGCCAACAACAGTCCGTAACTCCAGTCCCAGGGGATCCAACACCCTCTTCTGACCTCCGTGGGCACTGCACGACACAGGTGCACTTACTTACATGCAGGCAATACACACATACACACAAAATAAAAATAATAAATAAAATTAAAAAAAAAAAACTTGTAGTCTATTACCTAAAGGAGTTTATTGCAAACATGCAAAGCAAGTCCAATGGCTCCCCGGTTTTTGTGTAGTCTCACCCATGACAGTGCTCACTGGGAGAAGTAGCAGTGCAGAGAGACAGAAATGCTTCCTAATAAAATAATTTATGATTCAGGTCAGAGTGTAAGAAAAGAGCTAAACATTCTGAATGGCAAGAAAATACAATGTACTGGAAAGAACAAAAACAGAAAAACACCCAAGTGTAAAGCATGCTCAAATGAGTGAGAATTTATTAGGGGAAAGGTCATTGAGTTTATAACTGCACTAACCACAAAATGTGCCTATTGGCAGGGCATGATGACACATGCCTTTAATCCCAGTACTCAGGAGGCAGAAGCAGGTGGATCTCTCTAAGTATGAGGTCAGCCTAAGTCTACACAGGGAGTTCCAGGCCAGCCAGTCTACAAAGGGAGTTCTAGGCCAGCTAGGCCTCCAGAGTGAGTCCTATCTCAAACAAACAAACAACTGCCTGTGTTTATAACCAGCTTTTTCTCCTTCAAAAATACAGTATTTTTCCCTACTATTTTTTCTATTATACTTGCCTTTCAAATATACTTTTTTAACACTATATAGTCTTCCTTCCAAGCTTATCTGGTCTACACAGCAATGACTTACCTCAAACAAATCTCCATTTCACTTACTAAAAAAACCAAAAGGCTAACTGAATATTCTCCCATAATATCTTAAATTTGTATACATTCCAAAAAGGTAAAAGAATTTTTCCTAATTTTAATCTAATTTAATAGTCATTGCATTTCATTAAGATGGGTACCGAATCATATACATAAATGTTATAGAAGAAGCAAATACCAGAGTTCAAATACTAGCCTATAAGGTTACATCAAAATTCCTTGATGCACAGTTCACCTTTAGGGACATTGATCTTTTAGCTAGAACATAAAACAATATTGATTTGCTTTTGAAATAATAAACATTGGTAACTATTCACAAAAATGAGTATTACTAAAACAAAACATTCTTATTTAACAATGTTATATGTATATAGCTGGCAAAATGCTAACAAATCTATAAAGATTAATCTGAAAGTATTGAATTTGTGATTGGTCTTGTCTAGTCATTATTGCAATCTAATAAATAATTTTACCCAACATGACTAAATTACGTTCACCTTCATAACAATACTACAGTATTGGCATATTAAACCTAAGAGTCACTGGTAACACACCTGGGCCAACAGTAGGGGGGGAAGGCGTAGGCACAGCAATGGGGATGCCAATGCTACTGCTGCCGCTGTTCTCTCGACTCCCACTTCCTCCACTGCTTCCACTACAAAGAAGACAAGTAGTACAAAATCAATTTCACAGATTTATCACAAAAATTTTAATAATGAGTCCAAGGCTACTAAACACCATTTATGATTTGCATGTACACCTGTGTATATGTATACATAAGAAAATTCATTATAAACCTTCACCTTAATGCTTGATGATTCTTGTGTTTCATTCTACTTCTAAAATTCTGAAGCCAATATACTAACACAATACTAAAACCCTTATCTGGCCTTTAATTCCAGCACTCAGGAGGTAGATACAGGTGGACTGCTGTGAGTTTGAGACCAGCCTGGTCTACATAGCAAGTTTCAGGACAGCCAGGGAAACACGGTAAGACCTTGTCTTTAAAAACAGTAACAGGGGCTTGGAGAGATGGCTCAGCAGTTAAGAACCTGACTCTTCTTGCAGAAGACCCGGGTTTGAATCCCAGCACCCACATGGCGGCTGAAAACCATCCGTAACTCCAGTTCTAGGGGATCCGACAGCCTCTTCTGCCCTCCGTGGGCACTGCACGACACAGGTGCACTTACCTACATGTAGGCATAACACTCATACACATAAAATAAAAATTTTTTAAAAAAAAAGAAAAAAAAACAGTAACAAAAAACCCTGCCTGTGAGGAAGTATGTGAATAGGCATAGTGGCACACTTAGTCACAGCCTCTCGGAAGTTGAGGCAAGCAGATCTCTGTGAGTTCGAGGTCAGCCTCGTCTGCATAGTAAGTTCCAGGACAGCTGGGGCTACATTGAGACCCTGTCTCAAAAATGACAAATAAATAAATGGGGGGCGGGCAGTAAAACCTTCCAGTGTACTGAGTTGACAAGTATCTCCTTAAAGCCTGCTGTAAATGACAGTAAACCACCAGCTGTGATGGCCCCACTCGTAATTTTCAGCACTTGGCCAAGGCAGAAAGATCTTGAGTTTGAAGCCACTCTGGGCTACAAAATGAGATTCTTGTCTCCTCCCTTCCCCTCCCTCACAAAAGAACAATGAACAATGCAGAAATATGAACCACACTATTACATAACTCTTGGTTGACCCTGGGAAAACAGACTCAAAAGTTAGCATGACAGATAATACAAAAGGGAATGTACAAGACACTACAGAAATAAAAAGGCTAGCTTAGCTAATCCTTCTCTGAAAGCCAGTATTAAAATTTCTATTCACCTCAAAGAAAGGTGGCAGCCTGGCATAGTAGCACACACCTGCAATCTCTGAATTCAGGAGGCCAAAGGAGAATCACGTGTTTCTAAGTCAGTCTGGACTACATATATAGTGAAGCCATGTCCCAAAAGTTTAAAAAAAAAAAAAAAAAGGAAGGTAATAGGGAATTTTTGTGGAAAATGAGCAAAACAACAACCAAAAAAAAAAAAAAAGGGAAGATTCTGAAGATTCACTTTCTAGAGTAGTTGCTGCTCATAAACACTCAACTCCCTTCTAGCAGTGGATCTGTCCTGGCTACAACCAGTTACTATCTAGCTCTTTTTTTTTTTTTCTTTCTCCTTGAGACAAGGTTAAGTTGACTTCAAGCTCACAATGTAGCCAAAAATGACCCATACAGTAGAAAATGACCCTGAATCCCTGATCCTCCTGCCTCCACCTCTCAAGTGCTTGGATTACAGGCATAAGTCACTACACTCAGTTTCGTGGGCCCTGGGGATCAAACCCAGGGCTTTGTGCATGCTAGGGGAGCACTCTCCCAAGTGAGCTACATCACCAGGCTTTACTTCTTTCTAGTAAGATAGAAGTATAAATGTTTTCACTCTAGTAATAAGTAAGCACACGTGTATAAACATATATTAGTACATGTATAGCCTTAGGCTCCATATTATTTTTATTTAGTTCCTTCCTTATTTGAGACAGTATCTGACTATGTTGCCCAGGTTGGTTTCAAACCACTGATCTCATGCAACCTTCCAGCTTCAGCCTTCTAAATAACTGGAACTATGGGCACACATCACTATGCCTGGCTCACATATTTTTAAATCAACATCATTTGTTTAATAAGCCTACAAACTCAACAAGGCAAAGATTTACAGTGCCTAGATAAGAGTTTTATTTCATTCCCCAATTATTATCAAATTATAATTAGATTATCACACTGCAACAGAAGGAAAAAAAGTCACTAATAGAACAAAATAGTTTACATATGAAGTTTTCCTTAACTCCCTCGAGCCAGGAAATCATACTCAGATTTGTGTTAACACATAGGAATTTGTACACTTAGGCTTTTCTGTAATTCCTGGCTTAAATGCCTTTTATCTAACATAAAGAATGGCAAGTTCTGCCCTGTGGGCTAAAGCTGGCCTACTGCCCAATTTTTGCCTATGTGCTAAGGACATCCTGTTTTATTTTTAAATAGTTGGGGAAAACTCAAGAGGAGCTGTATTCTACAATACATTAAATTACTTAAAGTTCAAGTACTAATAGCACTGTAACACAGCCATGCTCATTCATTTGCATGCTGTCTACGGCTGCCATGGTACTACAATGTGCTACAGAGATCAGGAAACCCATAAATAAGACAACAACGGTGAAAATGCATACAAATCAATAGTCCCTTCTAACGGAATGAGGTCTTAGGCAGAAAAAAAACTGTATCTTACTGATTTATTCATGGTATCTAATGAAGTAATTCTTTTTTGTCCTTTTTTTTGGGGGGGGGGTCTTTTTGAGACAGAGTTTCCCTGTTGCCCCAGCTCTCCTGGAACTCAGTATGAAGACCAGGCTGGCCTTGAACTCACAGAGATCCACCTGCCTCTGCCTCCCAAGTGCTGGGATTAAAGGCGTGCACCACCATGCCCGGCTATTTATTTATTTTTATGTGTATGCATGTATTGCCTGCATGTAGGTAAGTGTGCCCATGTAGTGCAATGCCCCCAGAGGTCAGAAGAAGCTGTGGGATCCCCTGGGACTGGAGGTATGGACAGTTGTTAGCTGCCACGTGGGTGCTGAGATTCGAACCCGGGTCTTCTGCAAGAACAGTGTTCTTAACCCCTGAGCCATCTCTCCAGCCCCATATAATTTTTATTTTTTATATGTATGAAATATACTGCCTGCATGTATGTAAGTGCACCCATGTCATGCACTGCCTATGGAGGTCAGAAGAGGACATCAGATCCCCTGGAACTGGAGTTACAGACAGTTGTTAGCCGTCATGCAGATGCTGAGAATTGAACTTGGGTCCTTTGCTCTTAGCTGCTGAGCCATCTCTCCAGTCCCTGAAATAATTCTTAATAATTGGTGGTTGAACATGATTTACCCCCACTACAGGGAAAACCTGCCGTGACCCAGTAATTCAGTAGCAGCAAACTTAAGTCAAGCTGGATACTTAATAAATTTTGAATACATATTATCCTTCATAACTATGTTTTTATGCCGTTTTACTATATGTTTTTAAAAAACTATGTTTTTTTAGTTGCTTTCTGGAATATTTTAACATACTCTACTATGTCAAATTCCTCTCTGAAATTCTTCCTCAAAAATAAGCTAAGTATTCTTTCCTCTAACCTCTTAACATTTAAATCTTGTTATATAACTTCAATGTCATTAAACCCTTTCCTCAAATGCATCTGAGAATATTTAACTGCCTTGTTCTTTTTTTTTAATTATTAATTATTTTATTTTATGTGTATGCGTGTATTGCCTGCATGTAGGTAAGTACACCCGTGCTGTGCAATGCTGGCGGAGGACAGAAGAGGCTGTTGGATCCTCTGGGACTGGAGTTATGGGCAGTTGTTAGCTGCCATGTGGGTGCTGGGATTCACACCTGGGTCTTCTGCAAGAACAGCCAGTGATCTTAACCACTGAGCCATCTCTTCACCCCCGCTGCCTTGTGCTCTTTAAAGGGGCAGGAGTTGCTAGGGAATGAACTGAGGGCCTCATGCATACCAAGCACACTCCTACCACTGAGCTCTACTACCCTAACCCTGCCTTATGGCTTTAAAGACCATTTTTAAAAACATTCTTAGTCAAGAGGATGGGGGAGATGACAAGTAAGGAGAATCTACTAAAACACACTGAAAAAAGCTATAGATATCTAACTTGAAAATGCTAATTTGAAAGATCAAAAGAAATTTTTAAATTCTTTATTTTGGGTATTTTGGAAACAAGGTCTCATTCATCTTAGGCTGGCCTCAACCTTGCTATACAGTCGAAGGTGACCTTGAACTTGATCCTCCTGCCTCTACCTCCCAGGACCACACCATGCCTAGTTTATGTAGTACTAGATTATCAAATCAGAACTTTGTGTACATTAGACAAGCACTGTACCAGCTATGCTACATCTTCAGCCTCTAAAAGGGATCTCTGTGAGATCAAAGCTAGTTGGGTCTACATACTGAGTTCCAGGCCAGCTGGGGCTACAAGGAGACCCCGTCTCAAATAGACTAAAATAGACAAAATAAAATAGACAAATAAAATAAAATATAAAAATAAAGTAAAATAAAACAAAACAAAGTAAAATAAAAGTTCAGTTTTAACCTAAATATACACCCATAAATCTGTCAAATGAGAAATATAATCTCAAAAGAGGAACTGCAATTGTATAGGAGCAGAAATATGAACAATACTACCCTTACCTTTTACATTCAATATTAGCACTAAGCAGTAGTATCTCCCTTTTATTCAGCATCTTTAGGAGTTGTTCAACCAGTCAATAGCACGCACTCTCAAAGTTCAAATGTCCAACCTGAAGGCTTACCTATGTGTCCTGGGTCTCTGATTTAAAGAAGCTGTCCTGCCTGGGCTATGCTGGCTCCCAAGCCTTGCAGGACTAGTCATGTAGTCATTCGGAACTGTTGGTGGTTTAACAGGTTCTAGGGTTTTATAAGGAGTATTCCGTCTAAGGAATAATAACAGAAAGGGAAATAATTAATTAGAAAGGCAAAATAGCATTTCCCCCAAAATTTCTAACAGTCCCTTTGTGAACATAACAGAATTTATTTACATCAGCGATAAAGTCAAGGCTGGCAAATGGTTCAGCTGGTAAAAGTACTTGTAAAGCAAGCCTGAAAACCTGAGTTCAGTCACCAGAACTAATGCAAAAGAGAAAAACTCCACGAAGTTGTCCTCTAACCTCTAAAAAGTGTCACACAAACACACACATCATGCAAGTACAAATATTAACAAATTTTTAAAAAATAAAAATTTTAAAAATAAAGTCAGTAATCCATAAGCAGAAACTTCAATTATAGCATACAAATTTTAATACTTTACCATAAAAACTAAAGTATATTGCTTTTGCTTAGGAAAAATTACAGGAAAAGGTCATTTAAAGTTCTAACACTATTCCTAAAAACAATGGCTATAATTTTTTTAATGCCCAAAAAAACCTAACTTTGAAATAAACATTATTTGAAACCCTGTTACTGACAAGCCCTTATATAGTAAAAAAACAAACAACGAAAATTGCCTGCTGATTAATCCCTCTGCCAAAAGTAAGAAATCTAATATGTTATTTCCAAGTAACTAATCTTCAGAAATAACCTGGAAAATACTGGTATATTTAGTGCTGTGATAACTAGGAAGAAGCCACCATAAAGGCCTCCCATAAAGCTACTCTAATACAAGGGGCTATGATTACTAGGTAATGCAGTTGAACTACTCCAGGCAGAGTCCTTTTGAATCTAAAGTGCCATGTAATAGGAAAACAGAAGATGTAAACTACTAAGTCTAATGATAGAACCATAAAGTTCCATAACAGAAATACTGTAAATGCTTGTGCAGGCACCATAAGGAACTCTCAGGTAGGTCCATTTAAAATAAATTTCAATCAGATTAACAATGCTTTAATCCCAGCACTGGGGAGGCAGAGGCAGGCGGATCTCTGTGAGTTCGAGGCCAGCCTGGTCTACATAGTGAGTTCCAGGACAGATGGGGCTACAGGGAGACCCTGTCTCAAAAAGACCAAAAAAAAAAAAAAAAAAAAAAAAAAGGTGGAAACAAAAAAGATGCTCATTTACACATATCTAAAAGATTATAAACACTGGGCAGGATGGTATCCATAATCCCACAGCTAAGGAGGGGAAAGACAGGCAGATCCCAGTCAGCCAAGCCTTATTAGTGAGCTTCAAGTCAATGAGAGAACTTATCTCAAAAGAGATAGACAGCTTTCCTGAGGTTAACACCCGAGGTGTGCACAAGCACACACATTTAAAAAAAAAAAAAAAAGCAGATTATAAAGCAGGTAGATTTATTTTTGGATTCTGTTCAGGAAATGAGAATAAAAATTAGTATGGGGGTGAGCACGGTGGTTCAGTGTGTTGGCACCTGCTACTAAGCAGAACTACCTAAATTTGGTCACCAGGACCCACAAGACAGCAGGAGAGAAGAGACTCTCACAAGCTATCCTCTGACCTCCACATGAGCAACAAGCATATACACTCACACGTGTGACTGAGTATATGTAAACAAAAAGGTTTTAAAAAAAGTAAAAATAGTGCCGAAGTTAGTATCACAAAGAGAGGGCACAGAACAAGGATGTGCATTATGTCACAGCAGAGTCCTTTCTCAAAGCAAAGGGTTCTTGATAAAATTTAGTGAATTCTTACCCCAAAGTTCCTCGTCCTGACATGGGAGGACTCGGTGGCTTCTGAGTAGGAGGATTTGTTCTCGACAACGTGCCAGTTCTTGCAGGCTGGTTATTTCCATGCTAAAATGTAGAAAGATTTTATTTTTATAACGAATTGTTCTCTTGATGTTTTAACAACATGTTTCTTTTTAATATCAGAATGTGAAGTAAGGATTCCCAGACAGTTTAAATGATTTAGTGTTGCATTTTTAAAAGTCAAAGAACCAGCTTCACTTGGTTCTGATCATTTTGTGCCATTCATATAAATTTGTGACAAATACAGGTGAGACTACTGGATCTTCTATTTTATTGTTTGACATGTTCACTGAGCTCAAACTTATCTGCATTCAATATCAAGATTATTGACATGCTTGAAATGTGTACATAAATGTAAACTACAGATCTGTCAATTTGCTAAAATACTCATCTCAAATATAATCTTAAACATAGCAATTCAGTAACGAAGCCATGTATGTCTGGGAAACCTCCTAATTATAAGTCAATGAAAGCAAGGCAACTATCAAAAAAATGAGCAAAGCAGTAAGTGTTAGCAATATTAATGTTCCTATAAGTGCAAATGATAATATATCATTGATATATTAACACAGCCAAAATAAATGCTGCTGGTATGATCTAAGTTGGAGCATATTTAATCTATATAAATCCTACAGGAAAAAGCAGACAGACATAAAAAGAGTTTTCAAATTTTAGTGGCTCTGCAGCCTCTGTCAACATAGAGGAAGTATTGTGGATCGAAAGATAAGTAGTATCTCTTACCTTGGCTTTTAGCCACTTTATGTTGGCAAAAAAAAAAAAAAAAAGAGGGAAAAAGTAGAAATTAATTCTAGTAAGTTGTATCTGACAGTTGACATTGATGGTTATTGAATTTATGTTAAGCTTTTATCCAGTCACATTTCAAATACATTATGTTATTTCCAAGTAACTAATCTTCAGAAATAACTTGGAAAATACTGGTATGTTTAGTACCGTGAGAACAGGGAAGAAGCCACCACCAGCTTTTCTACATTGCCAAAGGCCTCCCATAAAGCTACTCTAACACGTAGGGCTATGATTACTAGGTGATGCAGTTAACTACTCCAGGCAGAGTCCTTTTGAGTCTAAAGTGCTATGTAATAGGGAAAGAGGAGATGCAGACTACTAAGTCTAACTATACAAAGCACACCACTATAAAGTTCCATAACAAAAATACTGCAAATGCATGTGCAGGCACCATAAGGAATTCTCAAGTCGGTCCATGGAAAAAAAAAGAAAAACTTAAATCAGAGGCTGGTGAGACGGCTCAGAGGTTAAAAGTAAGGGCTGTTGTTGTAGAAGACCCAGGTTCGAATCCAAGAAGCCACATGACAACTAACAACCATCCATAACTCCAGTTTCACAGGATCTGACATCCTCTTCTGACTTCTACAGGTACTGCACAACACAGGTGCACTTACATACATGCAAGCATAATGATCATACACAAAATAAGTAAATAGAAGGTTTTTTAAAGATTTAAAGAGCTTACCATGAAGGCCCTAAATCCTTAGTATCACAAAAAGTAAATAAGTAAATAACTAAAATGATAATGGATATAGGTAACAATAGATAAATACATATTTAAAAATCACAGGTTGAGGCTGGAAAGATGGCTCAGCTGTTAAGAGCTCTTGCAGAGGAGCCAGGTTTGATTCCCAGCACCCACATGGCGGCTACGAACTGTCCTTAACTCCAGTTCCAGGGGAATCCGAAGCTCTCTTCTGACCTCCGTGGCACTGCATGACATGGGTGCACTCACATACATGCAGGCAATATACTCATACACATAAAAAATAAAAATAATAAAAATAAATAGATCTCACTTGTCAAAGGTGTCTAAATGGCCAGGTGTGGTGATGCACAACTTTAATCCTAGCACTTGAGAGGTAGAGGCAGGGGGATCTCTGAGTTCCAAACCAGCCTGATCTACATAGCAAGTTTCAGGCCAGCCAGAGCTGCATAGTCAGCCTCTGTCTCAATAAATAAATAAATAAATAAATAAATAAATAAATAAATAAATAAATAAATAAATAAAAACCACAGGTTGTGGGCTGGAGATGTGGCTCAGCAGTTAACAGCACTGGCTGCGAATAAAGAGGAGCCAGATTCTGTTTCTAGCACCAATACAGCAGCTAACAACCACCCTTTATTCCGTGGAGTTCCAGGGAGATCCGACACCCTCTTATGGCTTCCACGGACATTGCATGCACAGGTACACTTACATACATGCAAGCACAACACTCATACACATAAAAGTAAATAAAAATTTTTAAAAATTATTTTTTTTAATCAGCAGGCATGGTGGCACATGGATCAAAGCCAGGCTGGTCAACTTCTAGGCCAGCTGAGGCTACAGCTACAACAAACAAAAAGAAACAAACAAGGGGCTGGAGAGGTGGCTCAGCAGTTAAGAGCGCCGACTGCTCTTGCAGAGGACCCGGGTTCAATTCCCAGTACCCACATGGTGGCTACAAACCGTCCTTAACTCCAGTTCCAGGGGAATCCGAAGCCCTCTTCTGACCTCCAAGTCATTACATGACACAGGTGCACTCACATATGTGTAGGCAATACACTTATACACATAAAGAAATAGTAATAATAAAATATATTGTTTTTAAATCACAAGTTGCTTTTAAATTCAAAAAGAAACTAGCACACCTCAGTGATTAAAAATGAAATCATGAGGCCCTGTCTAGAAACAAAATCAAAGTAAGGGAATTGCCATATAGCTTGGTTCACCCAGCATGTAGGAAACACTGGGCTTCCTTCCAGCACCACATAAGCCAGTCAGGGTTGCACAACCCTGTAATCCCAGAATTTGGGGTTTGGAGACAGGAGAATCAGAAGTTCAAGATCATCCTCAGTTATATATCAAGTTCAAGGCTAGCTTGGGATACTTGAGAGTCTGTCTCAAAGCATAAAGATACCCATGAGGTGGAGACAATCAAGATATGAAGTTGATAAAGAATACATAAAAATAGCTTTTCAAAAAATATAAAAATGGATTCATCATACACAGTAATAGCTTGGCCAAATTCTAACTGAAGAATAATAAAACAGGGTCTGGAAAGCCCTCTCATTTCTATATTATGAACCCAAATCTTGAGCAAGCCAAGATTTTGCCAACAATTTTATGTTCCTGTTTTCTTGTGAACCAGTTTAGTCAAAATTCCAAATTAAGAAAAGTTGCTTTCATCTTAAAGGCTACTTCTGGGAGGGATGACTACCTTACAAACATGAGACATCGATATTACTTAATGTTTGTTTAAAATGGTATTTCTCACTTTCACTTGGAAACACTGTTTGGGATCCTCCTATTCACTTCATTTCACACCTAGATTTAGAATACTAAATTTAATTAATGTTAAGATCCTTGATAAGTATACTATATGTATTATAATATGTATTATAATCAATGTATACAGTATGTATGCATAGATCATAATGCATATGAATTACAATATGCTAATCATGCTAAAAAAGTATTCTAAATACACTCTCAAATCTTTAACTGAAAAAGAAACTAAAAAACAGCATTCACGTGTCATCTGTTCCCAAATGAAAGCACAAGGAAATCAAATAGAAATGAGTGTTTTGCTTGAACACTGCTACTTGTACACAACTGTGCAGTTTATAAGATTTTTGTATCTTTCAGCTTAAAATACTACTGTTGGTAACTGACAATAATGTAGTACTAAATGTTTATATTAATGTCTCCAAAACCCTAAATCAGACTTTTTAATTTCCTTAAGCTCTCACTTCCTCTTAACATTTACATTTATAAAAGGTTATTTTTACATTTACCTGGGATCTGACTGAAGTTATACATAATAGAATTTTCTTTGATTTCTCTATTTTTCTAATCCCAAGTAGATCAGAGCTTTATATACCATACCATAGCCATTAAATGTCAGTAGAACCAATTCTTTCTTTGAAATTGATTAGTTCTCATTTATTCTCTTAATAAAATTAAAGCTTTAAAAAAACACACATATAAAACTATTAATATATAATTGTTATAAAACAGTGTCTGCAGTGTTTAAGAAATTGTAATTGATAGATCATTAAGCTGAGACAGTTTGGGTGTTCTGGGTTCCTGCTGTGTGAACTAAAACCCAACTCAGCATAACTTGATCAGGAACCAACAATTAACCTCTAGAAGCTTTACCAATCAGAAAGTGTCAACTAACTCTAATCAATAAAATATTTTGTTCTGCTTCCTTTGAACTTCCCAATAACCTCCACATAAACACTAAATATATATACGAGCATTTCATTCCTCTGTGAATTACAAACTAGCTGTATCTATTCACTTATTTGCCAAAAATAAATTTAAAATTTTATTACTAAGTACTCAAGGCTCCCCTATGCTTACTTTAAAACATAATGCTTACTTACAAAGATCAACTCCTTTTCACTGTCATTTATGTATATTCTGGTGGTTTCTCCATAACTGGTTTCTCTGATATCTTAGTTTGTTTCCCCAAAAGGAAGCCAGACTTACCTTAGGGTATTTTTATTTAAAATATTTCATTTATTTTACTTTACATGTATCAGTGTATTGCCTGCCTGCCTGCCTGTATGTTAAGTGCACCTGTGTTGTACAATGCCCTTGAAGGTCAGAAGAGGGTACTAGATTCCCCTGGAACTGGAGATACAGATGGTGGTTAACCACCATGTGCTTGGAATTGAACCCAGGTCCTCTGCAAGAGCAGCCAGTGCTCTTTAACAGCTGAGCCATCTCTCCAGCCCCAGAAATTTTTATTTTCAATTCCTATTAAAATTATAGACACCATATATCTTTACAGTATGAAATGTATTAAATACATTTAAATGCTATTTAAACATCATAATTTTGTTTCAATGAAGTGTGTAATATCATACACAAACACCAAAATATTAAAATTTATATTATTGTTATAATATTATTTATATTACTTCGGGTATAAGCCTGGTAGTTACAGAACAAATATTAATCAATTTAGATATGGTATTTAAAATTCTATATATGCTTTGAAAACTACCAAAACTGCAAAATTAAAAGCCAAAAAGCAGTATGAGGAAATACTATTTGCCAATACATCAATTATTAACTTCTTTAACAGAGAACACAAGTTAACAAGTCAATAAGAAACCAAACTTCAGGGGCTAGAGAGATGGTGGCTCAGCGGTTAAGAACACTGGTTGTTCTTACAGAAGATCCGGGTTCGAATTCCAGCACCCACATGGCAGCTAACAACTGTCCGTAACTCCAGTTCCAGGAAACCCAACAGCCTCTTCTGTCCTCTGCAGGCACTGCACGACACAGGTGCACTTACCTACATGCAGGCAATGCATGCACACACATAAAATAAAAATTAAAAAATAAAAATAATAAATAAATAAAAAATTTAAAAAAAAAGAAAAAGAAATCAAACTTCAGGCTGAGTGTGGTGGAATATTCCTTTAACACCAGCCCTTGCGGGGAAGGGAACAAGAGACAGGCAGACCTCTGTGAGTTCCAGGAAAGCCAGGGCTACATAGGTGGGGGGTGGGGGAAATTGATCAAGTTTCTAAATTGAAAAGTGAACCAAAGATAAGAAAATAATTACAGAGATAGTAGTGTCTGCCTATATTTAAAATGCCAATTTTAAAACTAATTTTTCTGCCTCATAATTTTAGCCTGTGCATTTTTTTAATGACTACCCAAATTTCTTAACTGGTTGGTTAATACAGTCTTTTAAATTTTTCCTATAGGATTGCAGAGGCGTGAAAAATAACAAGTACTACCAGCACTCAGGAGGCAGAAGGAACAGAATGGCTACAAGTTTCAAGGCCAGCCTGGTCTGCTTAACAAGCTCCAGGTCAGTCAAGCTACACGCTAAACAGCAGAGTCCCAGGCTAACGTGGTTTGCCTAGTGAGTTCCAGGTCAGCTAGGCTAAGCTGTGTTCCAGGTTAGCTAGGCTACATAGTGAGTTCCAGGCCAGTCAGGGCTGGATAGATAGTGAGACCCTGTCTCAAAAAACAAACAACAAATTTTTTAAAAAACATGTTTACATTATGATTAGAAGCCAAAATTCTCATCCACACAGTTTCAGTATATATTACACTATGTTTATACTTCCTACTTATACACGTTACACAGTTACATTTTCTTACTCAAACTTTTGTTTTAAAATTTGGATATATACTTTTAATTCCAGCACTCAGAGGCAGGTAGATCTTTGTATGTTCAAGGTCAGTCTGGTCTACAGAGCAAGTTCCAAGCCAGTCAGGGTTACATAGTGAGACTGTCTCAAAATTTTTTAAAAAAAGGATCCATGGGGCTGGAGAGATGGCTCAGCAGTTAAGAACACTGATTGTTCTTGCAGAAGACCCAGGTTTGAATCCAAACATCCACATGACAGCTAACAACTGTCCATAACTCCAGTTCCAGGGGGATCCGACAGCCTCTTCTGTCCTCCCTGGGCACTGCACAACACGGGTGCACTTACCTATGTGCAGGCAATACATGCATACACATAAAATAATAAATAAAATATTTTTTAAAAAGGATCCAGCCTATACATACTCCCAATCACTCCATCATAAACATAATTATTAGAGAAAGGATGAAAAAAATCAAGGACATTCATTGCTAAAATAATGGAGAGGTTTTTTTTTTTAAGACAAGTTTTTTATTTGTTTGTTAAAAGACAGAACTTCACTAGGTAGTTTAACCTGGTCTCAAACTCATAATCTTCCTACCACAGCCTCTGTAGTATTGGAATTATAACCCCACATTTTTCTTTAATGAATACGTGTTGATTTGATAGGAAGAAAATTAAGTGACAGCAAAAGGGTTTAGAAGACAGTGAGCTTTTACAAACAAAAGACTGGATGAATTGTACAAGTGGGTATACATTTTTTTAATCCCCAAACAGGAAATAATACAATCTCATATCATTCTATTTTAAATTGTCTTAAATTAAAATTGAATTTAAGGTTTTATACAACATTAGCTACACAATGGATTAAAAAAAGAACACAAGAAGTAGTCTCTGCCACATTTGGCAAGTGTTCCAACTTTTAAGTTCCCAAGCCAATGTTTCTCTCAACAACAACAAACAGAATATTTATAATGTAACATACCTAGCAATAGTACCAGTCATATCTAGAAAAGGCTTCAAGACTACAGCTGACTACTTACTATAAAATATTCTGACAGTCAGAAACAAAATCAAATATTGGTCCTCTAGGACAGGGACTAACACATTTTTAAGCATTAGTTTATCCTGAGCAGAGTTTGCTGAAGAATTTTAGCTATACTAGAAGTTTACAGAATGATATACAAATACCAAAAACCTAACAGACTTCATGACCAGTTATTTCAACCACGCTTTCACATAGGCAACAAAGGTTCCCATCTAAAAGCAGTGGGGGTGGGGGGCTTTGCACAGACAAAAATTTTATACAATTTTCCTTTCTTTGTTTTTTAAATTACATTCCCCATACACATAGGGGAATAAAATATTTAGGAATAAAAAAACAAATTATTTATAATTTGCTTTCTAAACTGATTTTGGAGAGCATATATAATTTTTAGTATTCAGCAGTGGAAGGAAGACAACATTCATAATATAAATTGATGATCACAATTTATGATTTAAATGGCTTATTTTATGAATGCCTTTTCAAGTTGTTCACTGGGGGTTTTGTTTTTGTGGGGCATGTGCCACAGCATGTGTGTGGAGGTCAGAGGACAACTTATAGGAAGGAGTCTCTTTTTTCTTTTCACCATATAGGCTCCAGGAATTACACTCAGGTTGCCAGGCTTGGTGGCAAGTGCCTTTACCTGCTGAGCCATCTTGCCAGTACAGCTTTTCAGTTTTAATTTTTTTCTGAATAGTGCCTGTTCTACAGGTGAACTTCTGGAATTTTGTGGAAATTATAACACTAGTTATAAGCTAAAGGGAATCTATCAATTAAGAAAGTTGTCTTTATCACAATTTCTATCCAAAATATTTGTTGAGAATCCAAATTAGCTCAAGTTTATGTTGTGGTTATTTCCATGCTTAACTCCATGGCCCACATCATCCAGAACTGTGTAGTCGATAGGTTTCCGAATATACCTTACAGGGCGTTCCATATTTGCAGGTGCTATTATTTTGTGAGTTCTTGATGTATTCTTATTTGTTGTCAAAATACCAATCTCTCTTCGAGCCACTTTTTCTTTATGAATATCCACAGTCTATATTTTAAATTTAAATAGAGCAAGAAAATATTATTTGGTATAACAATTAATGTGTATATGATGTCCGTATACACTGGACCAAATATAGGCTGGACTTTGGGGCTGTATCTTGTATCTATTTTCCAATGAAATTATATCTCTTCATTCAAAATTAAAGAAATTGGGCCTCAGGGCTCAAAGCATGAAATACTTAAAGGTGATCAAAACACCAGCGAGTTTACTGAATCAGTTCTACAGTAACTGTTAGGGAAACAATTGTTTCCTAAACCCTTACAAGTATATAGAAGGAGAAAAGAGTTCTGCTCTGGTAGTTTTAATTTCATTAATAAGGCTGCAGAACAGGAAAAAAAATCGGTAACTACAAGGCAATACGGTAAGTGCCACATGTGGATTATCTGAACTACTATAAAAGTATTCAGAGCAGCTAGTTGAAACAGGTTCACACTTAAAGGCTTTACAAAGGAGACAGGTTCTAAAGGATAAACAGGAGTAAGAGGCAGATATGGAAATTACTAAAGGAAGAAAGAACTGCACATAGCAGGTAAAAGGGATCAAAGGAATAAAAATGCTAAGACCAAAGGTTATAAACCATCAGCAAGCCTCCTACATACTTGTTTGGTACAGTCTACCCAGTAACAGCCTATGAAATTGTTTTACCAAATTATGTTGGGGGAGAGGGGGCTGGGGCTTGAAGATGTAGCTCAATAGTAGAACACTTGCCAGGATGTTCAAGGCCTTGGGTTCCCCCTTCAGCATATAATAATCATAAATTTAAAATGACTTTTACTGCCGGGCATGGTGGCGCATGCCTTTGATCCCAGCACTCGGGAGGCAAAGACAGGTGGATCTCTGTGAGTTCTAGGCCAGCTGAGGCTACAGGGAAACCTTGTCTCAAAAAGACCCCCCCCCCCAAAAAAAAATGTCTGTAGGTTTAATAAGATGTCTTTTTTCCTCCTGTACCTGTGACCACTGCAGACAATAGGTCTGGTGTCAGATATGAGGTCTGGTGTCAAGAAAAGTGGAAATGACTAACTCAAAAGGAATACACTGATTTTCTAACAGTAAAAGGAATACAACAACCCTAGACCTGTGCAAGAAATGCTTTACATCTCAGGAGGTCAGGAGGCAAAGGAAAAGGAGAACTATTAGTAGTGATTTGTCTTTGAGATCACATCTGAAGCCTTCCTACCAAAAAAAAAAAAAAATTCCACTAGTACAGCTCCTACAAACCGTACAAACACTTGACTGACTTGGCAAGACCTACCTAAATCCTGCTAGACATTTCTGATCATCATTCTCCTTAACCTCAAAGAGGTTCTTGGGAAGAACAAGAGGATAGTTCAAGCTCTTGTCGCTCCCACAAAAAACAGCTGTCAATATCTCCAGGGATCCGTTCCAGCCCTGTTCCTACAGCTATCATTCAATCGTTTCAAGGGGCAGATGAATGCTGCCTGGCTGTTGGCATAGGCAACAGAACAGACTGTACTGGTTGCCTTCAGGTACACTCTCCAAAAACAAGTGCTTGGTAATTATAGAAAATTAACTAGGAAGCCTAAGGCCAACCAGGAGGCAACTATGGAAAGATTGTCATCCTGTGCTCCCTGACTTAAAAAGTTTCTACAGGGCCGGGCTTCCTACAGGGCCATGCGTGGTAGCGCACACCTTTAATTCCAACACTCAGGAGGCAGAGGCAGGCGGATCCCTGTGAGTTCAAGGCCAGCCTCGTCTACATAGTGAGTTCCAGACCAGCTGGGGCTTCAGGGAGACCCTGTCTCAAAAAGACAGAAAAAAGGAGTTTTCCAAAAATAAAAAGTTCCTACAGGGAAGGGGGGTAGGGGGATTTCTAAATAGCATATTGTTTAAAGAAGCACAGACCCTATAAGCATTCTTCTCTTGTAGCTATCAAACATTAATTTGCCTCCTTCCAAAGAATGTTGTGACTTGTAAATTATAAGTGGTCATATGAGACCTTCAAGTGTTTAAGGAAGGCTACTCTTAGGGGAGTAGAGAGATCCCACAAGGAAACTAGTAAGTTAATTACATGCATTCTGAGGCAATTATTTCTACACTGGAAGTCATCCAATTAGATCGGCAATTTGTCCCTGACTTTAGCTGAAGTTATCAATGATATCACCTTGGCCCTAGAGGCATTTATGTCAGTTTCAAGTCAGTGGCCAGATTGTTATGGATGACAGAATAGCCTTAACACTCCCTCCTTGAAAGACAAGGCCAAATCTGTGCTCTGTGTCCTGCAGTGTCTTTATTAATGCCTTAAGCCAAGGAGAAAGTCATTACTGAAAGTTAGAGAAAACCACCTGGCTCTCTAAAGGAGGCTCTAAAGGCTCTCTGCGTCTACTCAGCTAACCGGGTCTTAAATTCTGGGGAGCATAACTGAAGTGAACACTGTAGATTGGCCTCTCTTGCTACCCTGGGCGGGCTAGTAATCTCGATTTAAATGTCTTTCATATAAGTTAAAGAGAATGGCTCTGGTGCTGGCCTGTCACAGATTTATCAATGAAGTTGTACAATCATGGGAAATTTTACCAGAAGTCAAGAAAGTACAGAAAGCAAGGGTAAATATTGCTGAAAAGCAATTATACTTGGGTCTGTTGTGTTTCTATTCATCTTGCAAGTAGAGGCATTGGCTCTATTTTTTTCCATATTGTCTTGTAGTTGTATAGGAAACACTCCTGAAGTGTAGAAATAATATATTCCTCAAAGAATTTGGGAAGATTTACTTATTGTTCAGTATAATAATGTCATCTCTCTCTAAAACAAAGGCCAAATGGGCTTACTATACATCCCAACACTCCTATGTTCCCTAACCTAGAGATGACTCTCATAACAGACTGAACTGCATTACTAGAGAGGTGTCAGGCTGGTGAGATGGCTCAGCAGGTAAAGACACTTGGCACCAAGCCTGATAACCTGAGTTTGATCCCTGAGACCCAAACTGTAAACCTCTGATGTTTACATGTGAGCATGCTCGCTCTCTCCTCTCTCCCCTCTGTCTGTCTCTCTCTCTCCCTCTCTCCCTCTCCCCCGCCTCTTGCACGCACACACTAAATAAATAAATGCAATTTTTAAAATTAAAAAATAAAATAAGAGGTGTCACCAGGTGTGGAAGCAAAGGCAGGTCAATCTCTGTGAGTTCAAGGCCAGCCTGGTCTACAATAGTGAGCTCCAGACCAGCTAAGGCTACAAGGAGACCTTGTCTCAAAAAGACCAAAAAAACCAAGAGGATTTTCACAGTCCTCTTCACAGTCCTCCATGAAGCTGAGGGCATGAAGGCTAACATTCTGTTATTCTCATATGTAAAATCCTATGTCTGTGACCCTAAGTCCTGTGTATTCTATAAACATCTATGAAACTGTGGCATTGAACTGAGATTATTCCAGTCAGCACCCACATCCAACAGCTCACAGTTGCCTGTAACTCCAGCTCCAGGGAATACAACACTCAATACCCTCTTCCAGCCTGTTTGAGCACCCACACACATGGCACACACGTGTGCGCGCACACACACAGTTTTATGATGAAAATTCATATCCTATGATCATATTTTCTCAGTAATTTAAAACTCTAATGCAGTCACTGATGTTGTAAAATGTAGTTATCATTTTAGAATGCCTCTAAACATTGTTTTTAATTCCTTTCTCTTCTGTAGTGCTGGTGATTGAACCCAGGGCCTCATACATACTAGGTAAGTGTTCTACAAATGAGCTATATCCTGAGTCCGGCTACTTCCTTTTCAAAAGATCCAGTACAAGTTTAGCTAGTACTATGTTTTGTTAAATTTTACTTGTCATGAAATTAAGTTTAGGAATCTATAACTCTAAAAGGGAAAAACATTGAGATTTTACTGGAAAGTGAAACGATAAATCATTACTTACCTCTGTATACATCTACCTCTCCTGAACAGTACTATCCCTACATAGTTATTGGACCACCAATATGAAACTCAGAAACAAATTCAAAGCAAACTTGGCATCTTTGGGCGGGGGGATATATGGGTGTTTTGTCTGCATCAATGTAAGTACACCTGTACATACAATGCCCATGAAGCATGAGGGTGATGGATCCCTGGGAACTGGAGTTACTCACCATGTGGGTGCTAGGAACCAAACCCAGGTCCTCTGCAAGAGCAGCCAGTGCTCCTAACTACTGAACCATCTTCCCAGCCCCCAAGAATGTTAACTTAATGGTATGGCAAGGAGGGAAAAATGTATTATTTAAGAAAAAAAATTTAGCTGGGAGTGGTGGCGCATGCCTTTAATCCCAACACTCAGGAGGCAGAGGCAGGCAGATCTCTGTGAGTTCAAGGCCAGCCTGATCTACATAGTGAGTTCCAGGACAGCTGGGGCTACAGGGAGACCCTGTCTCAAAAAGACCAAAAAAAAAGTTTACCATATAGAAGATAAACTAAAAATGGATCCCTACCTCACACCACAGGAAAAACACAATTCCAAATCTATTAAATATAAATCCAAATAAAAGCACATTTATGCTTCAAACATTACTCATTAATGAGAATGAACTACTAAGAAAGGCCCATCTATATGCAAACACATAAATCTTAGAATGCTGTTGAATGTTTTTAAAGTAAGCCATACTAGACCTCACACACACTTATCATTTCATAAACTCCCAGAAAGAAAAATTAAATAATAATTTAGGGATATATATAAAATCAGTTCATTTTTCAAGGTCTGATTTGCCTATCAGAAGAGACATATATAACAATAAAACCATAACGCAAAAGGAAGGATGAACAATCCCTTCAGGTATGGACAGAAGCACATGGGTAGAAGAAACAGAATTGGTTGTTTGTAGTCCTTGGTTTTGCTAATGAATTCATAGACTGGGGTTCTTTAAAAATAATTATAGATAGCATTCTTCTTTTGAGGCTATTAAGTAAAATATTTTAAAATACTTAAAACTGCATGCATGCATGCACACATACAACAGATAATAGAATTATTAATACCCCTAAAGGG